AAGATATTAGCCTTATCCGGAACAAACCTCTTGTATACAGACAAAAAATGAATTTAATTATTATTTTATTCGGCCGCCCTAGCTACCGATATTCTTTAGTCTATCTCATCAACCATCACGGCCATGCCTCAAAGTTGGAATGTCATTAGGGTGACATTCGTTATCATATCATAGCTGGTCAATGTATGTGGTTGTTGAGCAACAGGCTCGTCTTGCTCCATGGTTAGGTGTCCAGAGCAGTAGATCCCTAGGGTGTTCTTTTGCTCGACACCAGTGTTCTTCAAAGCACAATTTGCGTTCGCGAAAAATTGTACAAATATCAGGGATGGATCCATAGAGCTGTGATTTAGTTGGATGTTGTGTCCGAGAGATGTTAAGTATAGCTGTCAGCACCAGGCAGTAGGTTCTTTCAAGCTTAGACTGAAGTGTATTATTTAATATCCAGGCAGTGGTACCTACATTAACATCTTCTATACAGTGGCTCTAAAGAATCTCCACCTGAAGTCGCCGGATAGATCAGATTTCCGGATTACATACATTATTCAAGAGGGACCAAGCTTTAGCTATGTGTATTCTCACATCCTTATCAGTAGAATTTATTTCGCTTCCTTGGTATGTAAAAGATTCCACAGGTTTTATTGATTCACTAACGACTGGTTGAAGCCTATGAATTCAGTTTTAGAAGCCTTGACATAGAGTCCAACATCGCTGGCAGCATTTTCTAGATGATGTAAGAGAACTGTAGAATTGGTAATGATGTCTGCAAGGATGGCTAGGTCATTTGTATAGTCAATATCGGTCAATATAACTTTTTTTTTTGCAGGATATAGACATGAATGCCTTAGTAATAAAGTAAAACCTAGATACTGATGGTGGTTGAGGTAAGTTTTTAATACATAGTCAATTGTGATAACAAAAAGAAATTACAATAAGCACACAAAAATAGAAAAGGGGCATAAGACAAAGTTATATCTCCTCAATGAAACATATTTAACATTTACAGCAAGGCTATCCTGAGATTATTCAAAGTCTTACCAGGTTTTATTATTGGTAGGTACAAAGTTAGTAACATAAGATGCTAATGACACAGTGGTGAGGGCAAAGACAAAATGAAAGACACAGGAACTCGTCCACAGAATTGTAAACGAAATCAAAAAGACCAGCCATGCCTTTCCAGAACACAGAATATATTCTTGTCAGCAGAAGAAAGAAGATGCAAAACCCGAAATGGAAACGTCGTGATCAAGAAAGTATGAAAATGTAAATATCTACGAAGTGTTTTAACAGAGAAGGAAAAATGTGAAACAGCGAAAGGTAACTTCCAAAAGTTCACATAATGCATTAAGAAACAGAAAAAAATCGTTTGAAGCAAAGAAAAGACGGGAAGGGCCAACTCAACACTGACTCAACAACGCCGCTTCATAACCGCTGACTCAACACCGCCGGTTCAACACAGCTGACTCAACACCGCCAACTATGCGTCGGGACAACTCAGAACCGAGACAACTCAGCACCAGAAAAACATAACTTGTTTTTATAACTGAATAAAAGTCATTTATTAAGTATTAATACTTGAATTAGCTGAATATTATTTTGCAAATAAGGCATTTGAAAAGGCATTATGTAAAATTTTTGTTTTTAATTATTTTTAATAAAGTAAATCGTGATGAAATTCATTTTTATAAAGTAAATTGACATATAAAAATAATTCAATAAATTTCGATTCATTTTATTAGAATATAAATTACATTATTAAAATAATTAAAAACAAAAAACACTGCTTCATTTTGCCTTACCTTTTTCGATTTACTTAATTCAAAATAATTAAAAACAATGTGTTTTATTGAATTATTTTTATATGTCAATTTAATTCATTAAAAAATAAATTTCTTTACCTTTACTTCATTAAAAATAATTAAAAACAAAAAACTGGTTTATATTTTATATAATACCTTTTCAAATGCCTTATTTGAAGAAAAAAAAATCACAAATTAAGGGTTTAATCCTTAATAAATTACTTTTATTCAGTTATAAATGTTATGCTTTTCTGGTGCTGAGTTGTCTCGGTCCTGAGTTCTCCCGGCGCTTAGTTGACAGTGTTGAGTCGGCGGTGTTGAGTTGTACTGCATCCAAGAAAAGAATGGTCAACTGTTATGTAATATTGGGCCCTCTCTATGGTAGTGAATGTTGAAAATCTCCCCACAGATAAATAAGAAACTTAAACCAACCTGAAGGATGCTGAAAATTTTAGTGACAAAACATGTGAACAAAGACGAAGTTTTATTTAAAATCGTGACAAAAAGAACACTTGGACTTAGAATGAGAAAATCTCAATGGATATTTCTATGACACATCATGAGGAAAGGAAATCTGATTGTCGGAAGGCATATTGAAAACAGGACGGGCCGAGGAAACCCGCCGTATATCCCCAACCCAACGAGATTATTTAATTATTAACAGCTACAAAGGATAGGTCATTGTGGAGGGCCGTTATCACCCACTTCCTGAGTGGAGATGGCACATCGAAAAATAAACCGTACATGACAGACGTCATGAGTTTCATCCATGTTCTCAGATTGGCAGCAATCTTCACCATTTTCGATGCCGTCATCTTGCTTCCAGAAAAAGATGCGATCAACGCTGCCAACCAGGTTTAGAAAACTCCGCTCTTTTTTACGGAACCGCACAGAAATAGCCACAAGAAACTCGAATATCTAGTAATTATTTTCTTTTATATAGTTTTCTTTGCTTGGCACATGTTGCTCGGAATACTGGGTAAATTTTGCGATTCGATGCATAATGCAAACTCGACAAATTCTTATAGTTAGTCATAACAAAGTGCGTTGTACACCTCGATGTTGTGTAATGGTTAACAAGCTTGTCTCCCTAAATTAATGATGAATGAACAGTTAGTTTGTTCATCGCTGCGTGCCCCATACTTTCAGCTTTGTGCCACATCTAAACTACGCTTAGAAAATAATTTGGTGACTCCGACGTAGCGCAATGGTTAACAAGCTTGTCTCCCTAAATCAATTACGAATGAATAGTGAGTTTGTTCCTCACTGGGTGCCCCATACTTTCAGCTTTGTAACATCTAAACTACGCTTAAAAAATCATTTGTTCACTCCGACGTAGCGCAATGGTTAACAAGCTTGTCTCGCTAGATCGGTTACGATTGAGTAGTGATTTCGATTCTCACTGGGTGCACCATACTCCCGGCTTTGTGCCACATCTAAGCTACGAAAAATCACCATTACTAATGTGTATTATGCACGAATGATAATGGTAACCAGTTGACACGTGTTCAGAAAAATAATAAATTAATGAGTTAATTAAAATTTAAGAAAATATCTAAATAAATACACAATAAATGGAATGGTAACTGGAATAGTAATGTTTTTTCTCAAAGAGCTTCAGGCAAAACTAGAAAGAAGAAAAGAGAAAACATCAACCGAAATATGATGATCAAAACAACAAAGATGGGGACGCTGGTCTGCTTATTAAATGGAATAACGATATAGTGTTACTTCGAACATTTCGGTAACAGGTGTTGATAGGATGATAGAATTTTTTCAGAAGTTTGCAAAGATTTTTGTTGAGTTGATATTTCCTCTTCATTTAGTAAAAAGAAAAATGACTTCACAAACAACTAAAACAAAAAAAAAATGGATGTTTATTTTTATTGAGATGCACTTTGCCATTTTTTCTGCACTTTGAGGTGATTTTGTAGTAGAAGACGCTCCTGAAACGGCGATAATAAATGAACCAATAAAATTGCAGAAATAAGGGAAAAAATGGTTAGAAAAAGAAGATAACAGTTGTAGTAGTGGTAGTAGTAAAGGAGGAGAAGAAGGAGGAGGAGAAAGAAGAGGAGGAGGGAAGGAGAAAGCGAAAAAGGTGATAAAACAGGAGAGGAGGAAGATAAAGAAAGAGTGCAAGAAGAAAAAGAAAGAAAAGAAAAAAAGAAAGAAGAAAAAGAAGAAGAAAATAAAGAAAAGAAAAAAAGAAAGAAGAAAAAGAAGAAGAAAAAGAAAGAATAGAAGAAGAAAATGAATAAAAGCGAAGAAGAAGAAAACTAAAGAGAAAATGAAGAAAAAGAAAAAGTGGAAGAAGAAAAGGAAAGAGAAATAGAAACAAATAAAGATGAGAAAAAGAAACAGACGTTTAAACAGAAAGTGTTGAAGAAGTAAAAGAAATAGAAGAAGAAAAAGTAAGATGGAAAGAAGAGAAAGAAAGAAAAGGAGAAGATAAAGAAAGAGGAGAGAGAGGGGGCGGATACGGAAATATCTTTTTATTTTCCTCCTCTACTCCGACAGAAAGAGAAGAAGAAAAAACAGAAAACAAGAAGAAGAACAATAACAGCAGCAACAATATCAACAACAAAAAAAAAAAAAAAAACTCCAAAAAGAAGGAGTAGAAGTGAGTAAGAGGCGAAGAAGAAGCCGTGGTGAAAAAAAGAAAAGAAAGAAAAAAAAGAAGGAAAAGAAAATAGGAGATGGAAGAAAGAATGCATTATCATCTGAGCTGTGGCGGCAAATGTAATAAGAACAGAACGAAGAAGAAGAAGAAGAAGAAGAAGAAGAAGAAGAAGAAGAAGAAGAAGAAGGAGAAGAAGGAGGAGGAGGAGAAGAGCAACAACAACAAAAATAACTAGAACAATAATAGGGAAAATCATATGAACCAGAAAATATTAAAGATAAAAAAAAATTAAAATAAATTGAATGAGAGCAACAAAAATAAATCTGCAAAAACAGACAAAAAACTTGAATGACAGCCGTTAAAAATAATGAAAGAAACAGGAAAAAAAATGGCGATCAAAATTTGAACAGCCTTGAAGAAAAATGACAGGAATCATCGACTTGACACGTTTTCTATCATTAATGAGCTTAGATTATGGGTCTTTATAATTATTTCTCAAAGATCCTTGCGCGCGTGTGTGTGTATGTATACACGCGGACATTGATCTATACAGATATGTATATGGACGTAGACATAGGTGT